AAAACTGAGTCTGCACAGCAGGCCCTGAGCCCCCGCTGCAGAGAGCGATGCCAGTGAGCATGGATGGCGCCACAGTGATCTATCCAGTCAGACTGGTGGGGCAGCTCGCTGAGGCCATCCTGCTGGGCTGAACGCGGTGTAGACAGACAGAGGGCTACAGGGACTAGACAGCATGAGAGCCAACCAGACACGAAGCAGCACAGAGCCGGCGAGGCAGGACTGGAGGACAGTAGGCAGCCAGGCCAGAAGCTCACACGCTAGTCCAAGCCTCGTGGCAACCCCAGGGGAACAGCCCGGGCCAGCAGCAGTGGGCCAACTCCTGAGCTCACTGTCGTGGCCCCGTCCCAGACCTGAGTCACTGGGGATTCCACGGACTTCTAAGAGGGCCCTACATGCATTTCCAAACCCAAACTGCTTGATGCTGTCATGGAAAACCTGGATCTTTGCATTCTACGCTTTCACTGTGGACCACATCCAGGTCACAGCCTAAGGAAGGCAGCTGGTGAAAACGACCCTGCTGGCTGATTCCCCAGCTTTTGTAATGAATCCCAGAGGGCTATGAACTGCTGTGTGTTTCTGGCTCTACCAAGTCCCAGATGAGTCCTCACCCAGTGAAGACCCATCAGCCTGTGATTTATTCTGCACGGGGAGCCTGAGAAGCCACCTGCAATCAGGACTCAACTGCTAGAAGCTGCCTCCAGAAAGGAAAAGGATGGAGAATGTACAGGTCAGGGGAAGAGGAGTGAGAGGAAAAAGCTCTTTGTCTTCCTGTCAATTCAGCTTTTAAAAAAATGCCTGAGGACACCCAGAGGCCCATAGGAGCCACAGGACTGCTCTGTGCGCTTCAGTCCCAACAAAGGCAGGCTATTAAGGGGCCAGGAATGGCACTTTACAATGTAGTTAACATTTGGTTTCGACAGAACAAGGTCAGTTCTAAAGATCCTATTCCTTAGAATGCAGCAATTGTAGGGAACACAAAAGACTGTACTAAAACCTGCCAAGAAAGCACAAATACTTTAATAATCATCGTATAGCTACTACCACTTACTACTTACTATGTGTGCTTAAAAGCCTTTCTCATATATTATCTAATTTAATCCTCAAAACAACCCTGAGGTAGGTACTACTATTATACCCGTTTTCCAAGTAAGGAAACTGAGGCTTGGAGATAAGACAGACTGGTTAACATTTCACAGACACTTTAAGGTGAGGTCAGGGCTGATCCAGGGCCAGATGAGGTTTGAGCTCTAACTGCTGCTGAGAGCGCCTACTGAACAGCCAGGGCATTTGTACATGAGCATTTCAGAAGTGTCAGCTGGGTGCCCACCATTAGGTAAGGCCTTGAAGGCGAATCCTGATATCTGAATTAGCTTAATGGTCAATAGTTGTATTTTCATTTTTTTTTTTTTTAAGTAACCCAAATTTTGAGATTTCCACTGAGGTAGCAGATTCTTTTACACCCGACTTCTGAAATCAAAATACTAAGATTTTGATGGCTTTCGTTATACTATGGACAGTGACAGCTATGCGAGCCTGTGGCCTTTAAGATTAGGCATAGTAAAGGCATACTAGATAGCCTGTAATTTGTCACACAGTTACATTTTACAAAAATGTCATTTTTGCCAATGCCAGTTGTAAGAAGAAACACAGTCTGAGTATCTTTCTGAAGGATCCTTTCATTGCTTTGGCAACAGTCTCCTTTCTCACCATTTGTTTCAATGTCAAACAGAACCAGAGTTGAGAGAAGGGTTGTGGGGAGAGCAGAGACTGATGCTCACAGCTGCAGCAAGTCCTTGGCTGAGGCTGGGGCTGACCAGATGCTCTTAGAGACCAGCCAAGAGGACAGAAAGCAAGCCAGCTGCTTCAGACACCCAGGGGGCAACTCTCTTAAGCCATAGATTCAAGGGCCATGGCTGCCACTGATGCTGGCTTGAACTGCCTGGTGGAGACCTCTACCATTGGAGAAAGAGCCTGTGAAGCATCCCTCAAAGATGTGCCCCTCATCCCCTCCCCAACATGAGGGAGCCAGCCGACCAGCGTTCAGTCCATCCTTCCAATGATTTCTTCTCAGAGGGGTGCTGCTGGGCTCGGAGGTGAAGAGAATCCACTTTCCTATATTTCAGTTCTTAGCCTTAGATCAGTGGGCCCCTAGAGAGGAATCTGACTGTACAGGAATCTCTGCCTCTGGCCAACTTTTAGCAATTTCAGACGTTTTGAGATGCCATATGTATGCATGGGGAACATAAGTGAAAGGGGATGAGGAGAAAAATTTCTTTTTGAAAAATCAAGACTTTGGGGAGACAGATGACCAACAGCCCAGCATCTTGGGTGTGCTACTGCTCCCTTCTCCCCAGCCCTTCTTCCTAGAGGCCTGAGGCAGAGAGAAAGAGAAAAGTCAAGAATAACTCACTGGAGTGTATGAATAATACCTAAAATATGTACTCATCTTTGTGCCAAAATGAACACTCTAGCCATTTATGTGAAATAGCAAACAAGAGCACCAAAAGACTTGTTGGACTAATCCACATTCTTAGAGACTAAATTCACTGGAGTAACACCTTATTAAAAACTGCATGTAAACAGTCTTTGAGACTGAAAGACATCTATAATTTTCTGCAAATTGATTGCAAAAGACCGATTGTGGTGGTAAGGCCCAAGATGTCCCACCCTGCTGTAAATGGCCATTCCTTTGCTGGAAAGCAGTAAGTTTCTCAAGATGAAAAGCATTCCTAGGGATGACAAACCAGGAGTCTCATCTGCATACCAGCATATTGACAAAACTCATAATAAAGGCATGAAGTCATCGAAGATAAGCAAATAAAACATAGTTAGGGCAAACTGAGCAGAAATACGCCTCTCTGGTGAACCAGGACTCTCAACAGGATTAATTATTTGTGTAAACTGGCTCCCCTTCATCTACATGTTTATTTTGACTTTTCAAAAGCTTCAGTAACACTTTGGTAACACTCCTCAGCAAGCTGTAAGATACACATGCCCCCGAGGCACTGTGTGCCTGGGGGGATAAAGCAGAGGCATTTCTGACAAGAAAAAGATGAACCAGGATGGAAACCTACCTTAATGAACATGTCTCGGAAGTGAAAATCCAAGCTTAGGGGATGAACTGCAGATTTGAGAAGTCAATCAAAAGGGGGACAATGAGCTTCACAGAATCAAAAATCTAAGACAGGATCACATTTTCCAATCTCCCTATCTTTCAGAAGAGGAATGCCAGGATCCACAGAATTGGTGCATTTATCTCAAGTGAAACTGCAAGTTAGTAGCAAAGCTGAAAATCAGAATCCTGGCCTCCCAAATTCCGTGAGTGCCTGTGAGTGCCTGGGTGTCTCATGGTACGGCTGATCCTGGCAGATAAAGAGATGAGGGGTCCTGAGATCTGTCACGAGTATATCCCCCATTGAAACAGAACATGACTGTGAAGCAGGTCCTCTGTCATTTCTCTGGGCCCATTACCCTCTCCCCAACATACACACATGGGGCCCCCTAAGGTTTGAGAAACAGAAAACATCATCTTAATCAGCTGTTTGGGAAAAAAACTGCTGTTTGACCTGTTTGTTTGGAAGCCAGCCCTGCTCTGCTCAAGAGTTTGCTATAAGGCAGGCAAGAGCTAATTCATTCGAGGTCTGCTTCTTTACAGGCCTGGATGCCAGGCTCAGTGCTTATCTCCATTGTCAGCAGCCCCGTGAACGCAGCTACAGGATGTGCCCTTCGACGAGGGCTGTAAGTGGATTGCTGTTTCTCCTGTTAGAGTTCAGATTAATAAATACCTTGGTTGTGGTTGTTTAAAAAGTGAATTTTTGGGCTGCCCTGGTGGCGCGGTGGTTGGGAGTCTGCCTGCTGATGCAGGGGACATGGGTTCGTGCCCCAGTCTGGGAAGATCCCACATGCCGCAGAGCAGCTGGGCCTGTGAGCCATGGCCGCTGAGCCTGCGCGTCCGGAGCCTGTGCTCCGCAGCGGGAGAGGCCACAGCGGTGGGAGGCCCGCGTACCGCAAAACAAACAAACAAACAAACAAACGAATTTTTCCCCTGAGAAGTCTGTTCCTCTGCTTCCTGAGGATGTCTTCAAACTCTGGTGTGTGTGTGTGTGTGTGTGTGTGTGTGTGTGTGTGTGTGTGTGTGTGTGTGTGTGTGTGTGTGTGTGTGTGGTTCTGCTGCTCAGAACAAGTCCCTTGAGCGTGGACAGACTGATACCCTCTTGGTTCCAGATCCGCTTTTCAACTCCACATGGGACAGCCTATGAAAATGCGGGCGGCCATGGAAGTTTTCTTGGAGCTCACGGCCTCCCCTCTGGGATCCCGGTAAAGTGCTCATACTTTTCTTTCCACTGATTTCTAACAAGCTCATTAGAGAGAAACTCCCAGAAAGTGGAAGAGTTAGTTTGTAATTTCTGATCTGAGCACAGAACATTCTGACAACTGTCTCCAGGAGACAATTTAAACCAGAACATTATTAAACACAGAGCAGCTGATACTAATTCCCTTCCAGCCAGCTTCTTCCAGCCTGCGAAAGCTAAAATCATTCTGGGGCTGGGGATGGGGCCGAGAGTCAGGGGCAGCACCAGGCTCACTGCCTGTGAATGAACGCCCCACGCTCACGCTCATCCCAGCACACAGGGCCCGCTGCAGGGGGGCCTCACACACCGCAGTTCTTCCCTGGACGCACGACGCAGAAAGCATGCTGGTAATTTAATGGGAAAAGCAAAAAGTAGGAGTAGTTACTCAAACAAAACCCAGCAACTTAGAACCCGAGGAAATAAGCAAGGAAGAGGAGCAGGTGAGAGCAGAGAACAGACACTTCCTTCACTTCAGGGGAGTGACACAGGGAAAGGGAGTGATGAGGGCAGCGCGCGCCTGCTGCCTGGAACCGGACAGAAGACCGTCCTCCTCAAGGGTGGCAGCAAATGAATGAGCAGTGAGGGTGCTGCACACACGCACGTGCACACACCTAGCTCTCAGGCCCCCTCGCCTCCGCGCACGCCTACCTGCAATTCCTTGCAGCAGCCCGCAGACGTTGAAAATACTTTTCTTCATGATGCTCTGCACACACATGGTGAAGACGGACACCAGGGCCACCATGCAGAGAATGAAGATGCCCACAGCTAAGAAAATAGCGGTGGCCTGCCAGAAGCCGCTGGCGATCTCTCCGAAGGTCTCGGCGTAGGGCCCGCACAGCGTCTCCCGCTGAAAGTGCTGCACGCCGGGGTTCCGGATGCAGCGGGCGTAGATGCCCAGCGTGGGGTGGTGGGGCTCCAGGGAGCCTCCTTCCTGCTCGCCGGGCTCGGCGCTGCCGCGGGGCTTGGCTTTTCCAATCAGCCAGTCTGCGCTCATGAAGGCAATGAGCTCGGCAAACGCCACCACAATACTCAGGAGGGTCCAGAGCATCGAGCGACAGGTGACAATGACATGACACATATTGATGTTCGAGACGTCAGGAGTCGGGAGGCCACGGGGTCAACTGGACAGGCGAGCCCGGCGGGCGGTGGGGAAGGCGCGGGAAGGAGGCTCAGGCGCTCCGGGCCGGCAGTGGCCGCTGCTCGGGGGCTCCCTCGTCCCGGCGGCGTCGTGGGGCAGCGCTCTCCGGGGCTGTCATGCTGCCATATCACAGCTCCGCGCGGCCGCAAGCCTCACCTACGGGGGGAGAGAGGCGAGGAGAGCGGTTAGCGGCGCCGGCCCCGCCCCCGACGCCTGCCCGCCCAGCCGCCCGCACTCCGGCCGGTGCTCAGGCCCCGGTGCGCGCCCGCGGCACAGCTGCCCCACGCCCCGCGCAGCCCTGCCCGGCGGCGCCCCTCGTGCGCACAGAACCTTGGCCCGGCGAATCCTGCGCCCCCGCCAACACGCCGCCGTCCTCGGCGATGTCGGCCGGTGTTTTTGTTTCAAGGTCTCCATCACTGCGCTCTCAGAGGCGTCTGTGGTTACCCTTATCTCTCGGCAGCACGACAGAGGGGCCCATGCCAGTCCCTGCACCCACCCGGGGGCACGCTGTGCATGGGGTTCCTGCCCCAGCTGCATGCTCTTGGGACGTGGCTCCTGCTCTATTTTGTCTTATTAGAAAAAGTCCAAGAGCACAGGGATCCAGACATCAAGATATGTCTGCCAGTGAACTATATCAACGGACTGCCTGCGTTTTTTTTTAAAGTTTACAGGACTCTTTGCCTGCTGTTTTGGTGTTAGATGAGCTAAGTTAGAAAAACTTGCCTCAAAACCTTTTGCTTAACAGTAGAGAGTAGTAACACCCAACTTTATTTCCTGGGAATCAAATTACGAGCAGAGACAAAGGAGGGAGTATTTGCTTCAGAGGTAAATGAGAATTTAAAAGGAAAACAATGCCATGGCAAATAATAAACCTTTGCCACCCAAACTTATTTTTCATCCATTTCTCACAGGGTGATTTTTAGACAAAATGAACTACACAAGTTAAAATGCAAAGAAAAATAAAGCTCCAAGAAGAACTGATGACTTACTCACTTGGGGAAATTATTCATAACAGAGGCATTAATGACCATTGACTATGTATCATTACCACTGAGGGGACTTGCTGACAACAGAGACTTGCCTGTGAAGAATGTGTCCCTTGAACTGTCCCAATTCATCACATGTGCCTCTCTGATTGAGCTTCGATTCACCCCAGGTCTGAAACTCAACATGCGCATTGTTTCTCATCTCACAAGGACTCATGCTGTTCCCAAGGACAAACGGCTTCATTACCAGAGGGCTCTCTCTAACAGCTTAAACCCCCTTCAGGGAGGCCTGAACCCTGAAATGGGCCGCAGGGCTCCTCACAGCCCCATTTACTGCCGGCCTCCCCCCGCCCCCAGCCCACCAAGGTCAGGAAGAATCGCACAGCTCACATCTGACATCTGGGCACATGGCTCTGTTCTGAATGATCTTATTAACTGAGGTCATGTCAACTCCCCAAGAACTACAAAGAGCCTCAAGGCATGTGGGCAATGGTTGGGCGGGGAGTTACGGAAGAGGGAGGGAGGGAAGTGGGGAAAGAAGGGCGTGGCTGTCAAAGCTTCTCCACCATGCTGGCTAACATCCTAGTTAGAGGTGATTACTTACCTTATAAAACACAGTGTATTTAACAATCCTCACATCGCTGCACTTATACAAGATGCTATTTTGCAAAATTAGCTAGCGCAAAGCTAGGAACAGAGGAACTTAACTGTCATGGTTGTGTGTGTGTGTGTGTGTGTGTGTGTGTGTGTGTGTGTGGCACTGGGGAAGGGAGAGGTGGTGTGCATGCTGCATGCAAGGGTTTTGGTGTTCATCAAGTCTGGGCTCCAAATCTAGCTCCACCACAGACTGGCCATATTGACATCTAACTTGTCAGAACCTTAGCTTTCAGCTTCCTCGTGGACACATGAAGAAAGAAAGGGTACCCTGCCTCACGATATTGTTGTGAGAAATAAGCAACATGCTGTGAAAGCACCTCGCACAGTGCCTGGCATAGTAGGTGCTTAGTAAATATCAACTCCACTGCCTCAGAAGCTTTTCCCCTAACATGGATGACACTGGTCAGACAACTGTTTAACTGACGGAGGTGCCCCGTGGATAACAGAAACTTGGCCGTTAAAAGATTAAGCAGAGGCTATTTAGAGATGGATGAGGTCACTCATGTCTAAAGCTTCCCTGGTGGGCTTTGAGGGTGAGGTCCTGGTCTTACTTCCTGTTTCCCTACTGCCTAACACAGCTGACAAGCTCAGCTGGGGAAAATAAATTAGCATTAGGCCAGAAGTATAACCTACTCCCACTCACTCATTCTCACCTCCCCCACCCCCCAATATTTCCAAAGAGAAATGCCTTTTGAGTAAAACCTTACCAATACAAAAGAGCTTTGGAGGAGACTGTGTATAATGAAAGGGATCATTCTAAATGAGAACAAGGAAACAAGCTAGGATGACTCCCGGGAGGACGCCCCACCCCATGCAAGCTGGGCCCACCCACCAGGCTTAGAAACACTTTCAATCTACAGGTGGAGAGTCTGCTTGTTAGGACAGAATGAGGCTCTAGAAGATCTTCCCATTTGATTAGAAAGCCAGTTTACCGATGGGCCCAGCTGCTCTTAATCCCTGCTGCAGCTCTACTGTTTAATGGCAATTTTTCAATATGAATAGAAAACCTCTACATAGTTGTCCTCTTGCAGAACCTCAGACTCTGCTACAACCTCTCAGGTGACTTGGATCTTAATGAATATGCAAAGTGTATACCGTTCTGGTCAGCAAGCTCACCTCAGAGTCAGGGATGCGATTAGGTTGCAACTTCTAAAGAGAAAGGATGTGAAACTTCAGGAGAAGGGAAGATGGCGCATTCAGGCTCATTAGCAAAATGGTTCATGCCAAATTTGAGGCAGGATTATTTAGGGACCCCTGTGCTTAAATTCGGAAAGTAGAGTCCCCTGTCCATCTGTACTAAAACAATTCCCCCCTCCACTATACCAGATTCTCACATCCACACCAGAGTGGCTGGAATGACGCCTTCATTTTTCTGTTTGCAACAGGGAGATAAGATGTTTTGGACTTGCCAGCAAATCTGCTAATTACTACTATTAGAGGCACAGTCACAATGTGCAAGGCTGACTGACAAAAACTGGCTTTCCTCAGGATCCAAGAAAAGCCCTCGGGTCGGTGGGACAGGGGAAAATCTGGAAGTGCAGCAAGGGGCCTCTACAGTGCTCTGTACTCCGGTAAAATGCCCCAGTTTGGTCATATCAGATGTGGAGGGAAAGTCACGTACTGAGATAACATCCACATCATGGGAAGACAGATCCCTGTCACAGATTTTGTTAACCCAGGAATTCAGCACAGAGCTCCTTAGCACCTCCCTGCTGTTCACTGTGATTCCCACTCCTCCTAAGATCCTGTAGTAAGACCAGACCCTTGTTGACATTCCATGTAAACATCTTCTCTCCGTGGACCGCTAAATACATATCCCCTCCAGGACACCTGGCTTTACTACCACATCCCTGATGGATAATGTGGACAGTCCTCTGACTTTCAGAAAAAGATGCTGTGATTGTCACGAAGGTCCACAGAGGAAAGCCTCTTAGCAAGAAATAAGGAAAAAACCCAAAACAAATGAGACTCCTGCAGAAACCTAGGGTAATATACCACAGTCAGAATACAAAGCCAGGAGGAGTGACAAATGGTTGGTCCATGGGAGTCGTCATACATAGCTCTCCAAAGAGCCCTAATATTTAAAACAACGGGGAGGTGTGAGCAGAGCTGACACCTCTGAAAGGGGTCTGAAAGGGGTCCTTTCCTTGGCAGCTTCGTGCTGTCAGTGCATGTGAGGCAGAACCGCCCAGCATCAGCTGACTAGGAGATTACAGTACAGAAGCCTGGAAACAAAGGGCACAGCTTCTCCAAAGGTGGGGCAGACCGGGCGCACTTCAATCACAGCTGCGTCAAATGCCCACACTCTCCACCATCACAGCAACAGCAACAGCAAAGCCCGAGAAGGAGACCCTGCAAACCACGTTTTGAAGACCACCGCCACCCTACTCACCTTGGTTCTGTTTTTCAACTTCATTAAGAAAATCTGCAAGCACAGATATCAGGCGAAGAGAACGGACAATGAACACCACATACGGAACACTAGTTGACATGTTGCCGTATCTGTTCTACAGATCCATAGCACACACACTCACACTCACACTCATATGCAGACATCTTTTCTCTGAACCGTCTGGAAATGAGTCACAGATGTCTTGACACTTCACCCCTAAATACTTCTGCATACACCTCCCAAAAATGAGGACATTCTCCTTCGCGACCACAGTAAAATTAACACACCCAAGAAAACTGACAATAATTCCCTTATATCCCAAAGCTGGGTCCACACTCACATTTCCCTACCCTGCCTCCATTTTTATAGCTGTTTTTTAAAAACCATGACTCAGTCAAGGCTCATGCATTGCATTTCATTGTCTTTAGTCTCTTTTAGTCAAAAATAGTCCTTCCGTCCCTAACCCACCCCTGTGCCGCCTGCATTTTTTCCTCTGACATTTGCCTTTTTTGAAGATACCAGGCCAGTTGCCTTACAGGATACCCCACAATTTGTCTAGCTCCTCACGTTGCCACTGAAACTTGTTCTCTATCCTCTACTGTAGAGAAGCGGGAGGTTAAATTTAAAGGCTAGTTTAGATTCAGCTTAAACATTTTTGGTGAGAATCCTTTGTAGGTGGTGCTGTGTAATTCCTACTGCACCACATTTGGGAGGAATGTGATTGAGGCTACACCTCAGAATCAGTAACTTTACACATACATACATATGCATAAGTATACGTGTGTATATAGAAAGACAGAGACAAAACCAGACAGAACAGTCTGTCTGGTCCTCTCTGGCCCTAAAAAAAAAATCCAAATGTTGGTGAGGCAGTGAGCAGAAGTCTGCTCTGGGCAGGGCCTGGG